TGACAATTCCAGTAAAACAAAACGCAAACTTTTTTAATAGTTCTTTTTTGTCTAAGCTGGGTTGATGGATAGTGTGTGTGTGGGGGGGGGGGGAGGAAGACAATCTGAGAGGTGGCGCCCACACAACACTTGCCCTCACTCTCAGGTGACTCCTCCTGCCCCACCACCACCACACTAATCTCCCCCAACCATCAGTGGCTGCCACTGGCCCTGACTCAAGACGAGCAGGTTTACAGCGGCACCAACCACAAAGAAGAAGATTACGAAGAACTCCCAAGAAACACAAGGTCGAGTGTGTGGGGGACTCCCAGATCCTGGTGGGAGGACGGGACGACTGTTTGACTCATCCTTCCCGCAACTCCCACCTCCCTCCTTCATTATCCACCTCACTATTCCCTCTCCGTTAACCTCACCTCCTATATTTCACAACACTCGCCTCGGTCCACCTATCAGCAGCAACTCGGTTACAGCTTTACTGCGTAGTTAGCAGAAGAGGAGCATTCTGAACGTGTAGTGTACAAGGCGGTGGGCAGTAGAGAGCCTTCGACCAAACACTGCTGCTCTCCACCACACCGTTTCACTTGAGGTAAACTTACCATAATGTGGCTGACTTTCACCCCGGGGAGCTGCTACACGCGCGAGGCTGGACTCGTTCTCCCCCTGGCAGGGACGCCACTGCTCTAAGGTGTAAGTGCTTCCAAAGCTGACCTTTCCATACGGAACAGTCTCGTGAAAAATGGTTCCCGGCTCAACACCAGCACATCAATCATACGCATGTGTCCCAGGGCTTGTTAGGGGCATGTGTAACCTAACGAGAAAAGCACGAACCCAAACATCCCACCTAACCTAGACCACGAGGACGGTGGTGGTGATGGTGGTGACGAGGGGCAACAACAGTGGTGAAGTCAACAACAAGGAGAGTGGTGAAGCGCCTCACCGTCCACCAAGGACAAGCGACCCTTACCATCATAATTATAAAACAAGAGCTGGGAAAGGAGGAGGTCGCTGTACAAGAACCACAAGTGGACCCGCGATATACGAGCGGAAAATGTGGAGAGAAAAAGAGTGTTTTCGCATTTACTGTTGCAATCCGTTGTGGGCGAGCGGGAGACCGTGAAGGTCTTGGGCGGCGTGTTTGGCGGGAAGGTGGACCGTAGGGAGGCAGTTACAGCCCCGCTCCTGTGCCCGGTAAGTATTCTACGGGCTCACCATAGCCCGTGCTACTTGGAACTTTTTGTTCCCAGTAGCTGAATCTATACCAACCACCCATAGGGAGGGAGAGCACACCTCCCTCAACACCTGTAGATGATACTGGTCCTCACAGACGGTGAGTGAACAAATTAGAAAGACTACCTGACGGGCACTAAACAAAGGACTAGTCAGAGGAGGGAAGAAGATCTTAAGAAGGTGCACCATTAGCAAGCGCAAGTGGGGTGTTTGAGAAGTTAATGGACATCATTTATAAATGTAAACAAGAAGCTTTCATAATGATATAGAGTGCGTATGTGAGGCCATTATCAGTGTGCCGCACCCACATGAAACTCGCCCACCTCACGAGGCACAAACACAAGCTTAAGAAAGCACACAGTGGTGTCACTGGACTTGTACCAGAAGCGAAAGGCTTGACCTAACAGGACAGGCTAAGGGATCTCTGTCTACAAATCATAGAAGAGAAAGAAATGAAACCTATTGACACAAGATGCTGAGGGAATAAATATTTCAGACAATAATGGGGAGAAGATAGAACAAGACGACATGGGAGGCCGCCCAATACACAAGTGGTCGCGACAATGTCAACAAACTGGTGTACCGTACGAGCGCTCCGCAAGTGGAATATGTTAAAAAAAGGAACTTGTTGAGGCTATCATACACACCTTTTTTAGAAGAACAAAAAACATGACAGGGATCGGTCAGAGACGAAAAATCCTCGCTAGTTCTCATACGCCCAGAGTCAGTGATGGGTAAGCAAGCAGCACTTCACCTCCACACCCCAACACTATGCAAGGGTCACACCGTGTGCGTCACCACCACCACGCACGCCACCTGTAGCAGGATGATCACCACCTTCCACCTTACCAAAGGCCGTGACCGTGCTGGGTGTCGTGACGCCAGGTACTGTGTCGCCACACACGCACGCGCACTTTGAGAAAGAGGGAATCATTCAGAAGACTTCACTACCTACGTAAACAAATCCTAGAATACGCAGCACTGGAATGGAACAGGCACTTGTGAAGCACTAGAAAACTGAAGTGTCCAGGGATCTGCTATGAGAACGCCGCCAGAAGTAAGAGTTCGATAATAATAATAATTTGGCTATGTTAAGCTGCTGGCATAGTGAGAGTGAGAGGGAGAGGGAGAAGCTTGGTAGCTATGGGAGAGTTGAAGTCTCCCACTCAGACTCCACCTTTTGCTTGTATTAACATACTTGCGTAGATTGGCAGTTATGCGGCTATATAAAAGGCTGCAGAGTTTATAATCAAGACCTACTTATGTGATATTAAGATACTTATCTTGCATCATGGTTTGTCATAAAGAGGAATGTAATCACTTAGTGCTAGCAAACTTTGGATTATAAGAATGGTCACTCCCATGTTCTTGTAGATAAAGTAATTGCAAAGGTGTATGTGTGTCGTACCTGTAGGTCAAAGGCTCTAATGACTGGTCAATAATATAATGCTGGAGATAACGACCCAGTTGCTGGTGGCAGAGTCTACACAAGGAGTGCTCAAGACTTGCGGCCACCTCTCACAGGTACTCTTGTCCTCCCATACATCCTGGTGGCGGTCTACGGGCTCACCATAGCCCGTGCTACTTGGAACTTTTTGTTCCAAGTAGCGAATCTTAAACAAGAACATCCTGGTGGCGGTAACACAATCTCTTCCACACAATTACTTATCCATGTTTGCTGACCACACTAACTAATGAGGCAAACCACAACTGAGTAGACCTGCAAAACATTACAAGATGAACTAGGCAATCTCCAGAGATGGTCGGAGAACTGGCTATTAGACTTAAACCCTGACAAATGCAAGGTTATGATAGGAGTTCGATGCAGAAGACCTCAAAGAAAGACTTCGGGAAGGACAAAACTCGAGATGTAACACCATCAGCAGCATAACGACGGCAGCATAAGTGTTCATATGCACATATCCTGTACATATGAGAGCCTAGAGAGCTCAGCTCTCTATTCATCCTTTGTGAGACCTGTTATTGAGTATGCTGCCCCGGCATGGAACCTCTAGCTAAACAAACAATACAAAACTAGAAGAGATAACAAAATGAGCAACAAGGCTCGTTTCTGAGCCATGTAGGAAGACTGACGGAACTGAACTTCACTACACTGAAAGAAAGAAGGAATAGGGCAGACATGATAACGACATTCAAGATACTGTCGATACCCGCGTCACCCACGCTGCTAAGTGTGTCAACCAAAGGTCACACACTAATGTTAGTGACATAAATAATGAGGGTAACAATAACAGGTGAGAGCAATCCACTAGACAAGCCAGTAAGTATTATTATCACCCGCCACACCAAGCTGGGGAGACCATGGAGCACCACACACACCGCAACACCTGCCTATATCCATCCATGTTTCGCTTGGGGGTCACTGTACACTAGGGACACAGTAAACCTACCAGCACCACAGTAAACCTACCAGCACCACAGTAAACCTACCAGCAGCACAGTAAACCTACCAGCAGCACAGTAAACCTACCAGCAGCACAGTAAACCTACCAGCAGCACAGTAAACCTACCAGCAGCACAGTAAACCTACCAGCAGCACATGAGAGCAAGTGACAATGCAGGTTTACCGTTGACATAAACAAGTGAGACGTTAACTGTAGTGACAAACACAAGTGTTAAGTGTTGACAAGCACAACACTGGCCTCTCACCACCCAGCACTTGTCACTGTGAACCATACCATGAGGAGCGGACCGTGTGGTGAGACACGCTGGAACAAAGAGCATCTCTTACACTAAGTGAAGAAAGGCTTGGTAATCACAGGCATAATTGCTATTGTTCTATTTCCCTCTTCCTTGTTCCTGGTGTACATTGTGGCATGTTTATCTTTGTCGTCAATACTCTTATATAAATGTAAATGGAATGTTTTCATGGAAGGATCGTGTGGTTCACTGTCTGCAGAAGGTGGTCACCCGACAAGGATGAAGTCTGCCGCATGCTACAGAAGGACCTAGATACTCTGCAGGAATCGGTGGACAAATGGCTGCTGGAATTAAATTACCAAGGATTAAACATAATGAGCACTGGGAGAGGAAGGAGGAGAGCAGGTGAGTGCAACAGTTCAAGAGAGGCAGCTCCACCAGTCAACAAAGACAAACAGGCGTCTGGGAATGTATTTAACACCAGCCTTATGACCACCAGAATAACATTTGATGTGTATGCAAGATTAGTAAACAAAAGGAGAGCTTGCAAGTACCTCCTTACCTTGAGGTTACCTTGAGGTGTTTCCGGGGCTTAGCGTCCCCGCGGCCCGGTCCTCGACCAGGCCTCCTAGTTGCTGGACTGGTCAACCAGGCTGTTAGAGGCGGCTGCTCGCAGCCTGACGTATGAGTCACAGCCTGGTTGATCAGGTAACCTTTGGTATTCCTCAACAATATCCCTCACAATATTAGTATATTAGATCAGTTTTAACAGTATGCAGCTTCAGTATATAAATCGTACCTACAGAAGCACAAGACAATATTGAGAGTCCAAAACTCTGCTCCGCTACACAAAGGTAAGTCTACTGGTCCCAGAGATGAGAGGCAGGAGAGACATAGTCACAACGCACATATGACCATCTTCAGTGTCCAGACCTGGTCGAAGACCGGGCCGCGGGGACACTAAAGCCCCGAAATCATCTCAAAGATAACCTCAAGATAAGATGCTAAGTGAAGGTCCACATGTTAACACATGGCTGGCTGCCACATGTCCATAGTGGCAGCCAGCCTCTACCCCAGACCCGCCACGCAGGACAAGAAGGCCAGAGACTTACCCTTTGCCCTTGGGAGCCTCCCAGCGGACGGTGAAGGAGTTTGAGGTGAGGGTCTTGGCGTCGAAGGTGATGTTCCTCGGGGAGAGGGGGATGGTGCGGTACTGTGCCGTGGTGGGCACAGAGATCTGCTCCTGGCTCACCGTCTCCACCGTGATGTTGTACGCCCGACCTCAACACACAACCACAACAGTATTATGCACCATCCTCACAAAGTCACAATTACCAAGAAAAGGACCGTTTAGGCCAAGTAAATACATTTGTGAAAGTGGCACTTGGAATATCAAACATATGAAGTTCATGGACACTAATGAATACTGTTGAAACATACCTCTCTTACATCATTATATATACCTGTATATATATAATATAGGCAAGAAAGAAGTGTAAATATTGGAGAGGGTTGTAGTCAAGAGCAGTGTTCCCAACCAGGGGTGAGGTCCATGGGACTAATTCTTTATATTGTGCCCCCCCCCCCTACACCCACAGGCGAGAACGTCATATTAGGGGGGTCCACAGGTGAGAACGTCATATTAGGGGGGTCCACAGGTGAGAACGTCATATTAGGGGGGTCCACAGGTGAGAACGTCATATTAGGGGGGTCCACAGGTGAGAACGTCATATTAGGGGGGTCCACAGGTGAGAACGTCATATTAGGGGGATCCACAGGTGAGAACGTCATATTAGGGGGGTCCACAGGTGAGAACGTCATATTAGGGGGATCCACAGGTGAGAACGTCATATTAGGGGGGTCCACAGGTGAGAACGTCATATTAGGGGGATCCACAGGTGAGAACGTCATATTAGGGGGGTCCACAGGTGAGAACGTGGTTGACAAATGGGGGAGAGATAAAAGGTTTGAAAGGCGTGAGGTAGAGGGAGGCAGATAGTGGTGGAGAGGGAACACACACACTGAGGGTGGAGAGGGACGAGGCGAGGGTAACTTACCGGGCACAAGGTCGAGGAAGGCGGCCTGGGCGGGTCCTGGCGGCTCGCCCACCTTCGGCACCTTCAGCACGCTCTCGGCCGCGTCGCTCGGCTCAATGCTCACCTACACCCATACACACCAAACTATATTAACATACACAAACTGCAGAAACAAGTTAACTTGACAAATATATATACAAAACAGTGTTGCTGCTCCTGGAGACATTTGAAATTCCCTCATTTTCAGAGAGCTTGCCTTGGGTGTGTATTAGTGTGTGTACTGTGTGTGTGGAGGCAGTAGAGCAGTGTAACGGTGCCAGGAGCGAACACTATTCGGAAACATGTGTCCAGTTTTTGTGTGTGTTGGGTGTTGGAGCGGGTGTCCTTGCCGCCCTCCGTCTCTCCCTCATGTCTCTTCCCACCTCACACACCTCACACATAACTTTTATTCACCACATAATGTGAACTGCCAGGATACAAACTCGTAGGTCGTAAACTCGCACTGTGTGAACTCACAGGAGGTAAACTCACAGGATGTGAACTCGTAGGACGGAAACTGATGGGAAGTCTAACCCAGAGTTAATCTGGTACTGAACCTTGATCATCTCTCAATTATATTAACTCACAGACACACACCACCCTAAACACTCATATCACATCATGTACACACAAATTACGTGAAGTAAACGTACTCGAATCACGTCATAGTTGCTTATAGATCAAGTGATGGACAACTGCTCATAGATCACGTGATGGACAACTGCTCATAGATCAAGTGATGGACAACTACTCATAAATCAAGTGATGGACAACTACTCATAAATCACGTGATGGACAACTACTCATAGATCAAGTGATGGACAACTGCTCATAGATCAAGTGATGGACAACTGCTCATAGATCAAGTGATGGACAACTGCTCATAGATCAAGTGATGGACAACTGCTCATAGATCACGTGATGGACAACTGCTCATAGATCAAGTGATGGACAAGCACTTTCCTTTAAATCCACAATAAATTTCGGACACAATAACTTGCATATTACTAAGACAAGATGAGAAGTGAGACGGTGTGTACTCGAGGCCGGCCCATCGTCCCATTACCTTCTGCTGAAGAAACTGCTGACAAGAATGTGTCGACAGCTGCTACGTGCAGCACGTGACATGTGCGTCACGTGCTCAGCTGCTAAGGTATGTACGAACAGCTCACCATACAGTGGTGACCCAACAGTAACGAGAGGTTTGAGAGGTCCGGTGGCTATACCTGATCATACAGGCTGTGGTTCATACGTCAGGCTGCGAGCAACCGCCTCCAACAGCCTGGTTGACCAGTGCAGCAACCAGGAGGCCTGGTCGAGGACCGGGAAGCGAGGATATTGAGCTCCACAATCGTGGCAAGGTGGTGTGAGGAGCCAGGAGTGTGGGCGGTCACACGCGTGAAGAGTGTGTAGGTGTGTTGCTCCCTGGGGCGCCCCGGACACCCCAACACCCTCCACACCGTCCCTGGCCTGCCTCCACACCAAGCCTGTACACCCCTCACCGTCCTGCCTCCACACCAAGCCTGTACACCCCTCA